GCTTCAGGAAGGCCCAGGAGAGTGTGTGGCACCTCAAGCTCCAGAAGCAGGAAAAAACCCAAGGTGAGGCATATAGCTTAAGCCTTATTTCGAGCGCTGGTGTGTTAATCTACAAGTGTCTCCCTGCATGATATTTTTGACGCCACGAGTACACAACAGTGCCGCTTTTGTCTCTGTTCGATAGCGATACACATGTTTCTCATGTTGGTGTTTGGTTCACAGCGATATCATCGACCGCGCTATTTAGGCGTCTGACCAATGCAAAGTTTTGGAGTGGCTAATTGCTTTAGGTGTCATCTGTGCCTGTGATACTCTGACCAAGCGTATACTCTGAGCCTGCCTCATGCCATGTGCTATGTGGTGCTGTTGTACGATTCAGCTCCTTCAGGTGCATTACTAGGTTCTATCTAATGAGCTTCATCCCCTTCGGTGCTTGTTGGCATTTTCCAGGAAGGTCAACCACCTCCCCCGCCCCTCCCGGAAGATCCTCTGGGGTGGGTATTGAAGGGACTACCGCGGGACGAGTCATCCGAGCCGTACACCCGGAGAANATACTCTGAGCCTGCCTCATGCCATGTGCTATGTGGTGCTGTTGTACGATTCAGCTCCTTCAGGTGCATTACTAGGTTCTATCTAATGAGCTTCATCCCCTTCGGTGCTTGTTGGCATTTTCCAGGAAGGTCAACCACCTCCCCCGCCCCTCCCGGAAGATCCTCTGGGGTGGGTATTGAAGGGACTACCGCGGGACGAGTCATCCGAGCCGTACACCCGGAGAAACAAGCATCCCGGCGGCGACAAGTTCAGCCTATCGAACGACCTGAAGGCGAGCCTACCGAAGGTCGACAAATCAGGGCTATCAGCTTTGCGGTCTTTCGTCAACGGCAAGGGCCAGGCTCTACCCTTCACGTTCTTCGAGAAGACATTCCGAAGGAGGCGCAGGACATCGTTCTGGACGAGGTGATGAAACCCAGGCTGGTTGTGTGTGACTTTGTTTTTTTGCAAGGACCCCCCCCAAATCGTTGTTGTATTTTGCGAACGACACGAGAGTGGTGGAGTTGTGTTTATGTCACTCGCGACCGGAGTGAGGAAGAGTAGAACGGCCATAACTTTCACAGTAGCAATGCGCGGACGATAGGTCGCGGTGCAGTATCCACCGTGCTGTTGTACCTCGTTGTGTAGGTGAGGGCCATCGGTTCATCGTTACATGTTGAGACGTACAGGAGTCAGGCTCCGCTGGCTGGGGGGGGGGAAGGCTCCAAGAAACCAGCACGTATCAGAGTCGACGAAATGCAAAATGCAACACCAAACGACAACGTGTGAAACTAGTCCTAGCGCAGTCCTTGGCGCCGCAAGCAGCTAAAATCGTCAGCAGCATGTTAACGTTGAACATTGCACGGGACAATCGAGACTCACGTATGTGTGTCTTCATGTCCACATGTATACTCCAGCATATTTGCCGTGTTAACCACCAACTCCCAAGAGATTTTGCATCCTTTCCCAATTTGGTTTTACAGAATCCCTCTGATGTCCCTCCCCTTCCCGAGCCTTCGCATCTCGCCGCTTCCCGCCCTTTCACCAGACGAACAGGTATGTGAACTTCTGCGCCGACGAGTCTGATCCGCCGCCGGAACACCAGGAAGACCGGCACAGGAAGAAGAAGGTGGTTCGTGGCTTTCAGGAGGTTCCGTCGAAGAAGATGGCGAATGGATCTCGAGAGAACGCCTTCGAGCGCAAGCACCTGTACGGCGTGATGGGTATCCTCATCACCGCCGGACTGACCAAGAAGCCGAGGATCATCGATCACTGGGCCGTCGGAGCCCACGACAACTACCCCCTGGTCCGGGCCTGCATGCCTCGAGACCTCCATCCTGTTCTACGGCCGCTTCTTCCACTTGGCACCTCCCACCGGCAAGCTCAAGAAGGATGATCCCCAGTACGACAGCAAACACCACATCAGGTATGCCCCATAGAAAAACACGCACGCCAACAGACTGCAATTGTAGGTACGGTGGATGGGTATACTTTATTTTCGTTCAGAGGATATTTAATTTTATTTTCAGTTTTGGAGACCAATATGGGGTGATCTTTGCCCTTGGCGCTGTGTCGTCTCCTTCGCCCTCTCAGCAGAATGACTTAAATATTGCTGAATAGAAATTGCTCGATTACGAACCATTTGGGCCCACTGGAAGCTGCTTTGGAACAAAGTGTGTGTCGTAATCGGAACACGAAACATCCGTATCGGTGTCGGCCTTCAAATTCGCTCAGGTTGCGTGAGTTATAGTGAATCGCTGGTTGGGGGAGCAATACGCATGTATATCCAGCGTCCCCCCCCCCGCCCCAAAGTAGTATTGCTAAGGGCCGTTTTAAACTGACCGACTTTTTGTCAAAATGTTTGAAAGTGTCAAAAAAATGGAACCTGTATGTAGGCGTTTGTCCATATTTTTTCAAAATATTTGGAACGAAGTTGGGCGCGAAAAGTTTGCTCCACTTGGTTCCAACTTTGACTTTTTGACAACCCTCTCAAAGTATTTGGAGCACTTTCCAAAGTACCCTTGCAGAGGCACGCGCGGGCTGCTGCGTCTGCACCACGAGTGCCCCTCACCGTAGAAAGTCAGCTAGGGTTGTGTGTGGGTCATGGCCGACCGTAGAAAGCGCGGCGCGCCTACAGATTCGAGCGGCTCTCCTCGCCCACGGGCACGCGCAATACAAAAAAAAAAACGGCGGTCCGCCATGATGGCTTGCAGTTGTTGCTTCGCGTCCGCCGCTTTGTTTTTTCCTTTTCCCGGGGGGGTAGGAGCAGTGGTTGCCACCCCTCGCCGGCGGAGTGTTGGTGGCGGCAGCGCCTCCCGTGGTAACATGAGTGTTCCCCGAGATGCCAGGCAGCAGCACTATCTTGCTGGAGAGCAAGCCTCCACCGCCTACGGCGGCACCGAGAGAGCCCGTCTGCTGGAATTTCGCCGGGGTTTTGGTCTGCCGGCCACGCTGGGTGGTCGTGATATCCATGTCGGTGTCCATGATGTCGTGTTTTCCGCGGTTTGTGTTGTGTCGTCTGTGTTGTCTCGAAGTGAGCGCTACAACTCACGGACGGCGTCATTTTTTTTGACACAAGTTGCACAAGTCTACGTCACACGTTTAAAATGACTGCACACAGGTTCCAAGTTTTTGAAAGACAACTGTCGAAATTTTTGACAAAAAAGTCGGTCCGTTTAAAACGGTCCTAACTGCAATCAGTACTTCCTCTCTACGTGAACCCCGCCGGGTAGCTCCGCCGATGCCGTCAGCAAGTTCGCTCAAGCCGTCAGCAACGCGTGGCTCCTGTTCTTCGAGTGGGCCGGGGTGCTAGCCACGCAGTGTACCGCGGCGTTGGAGGCGGCGACACAAGACCGGGGGGTGGGTTATGCCGGGGACGCCGGGAAAGCCGGAGAGGGGGGGGCGGCGGCGGACCGTTGCGACCTCACGGTGGCAGAGCTCCAAGAATTTCAATGCCTAATCGAGAAGGCTATTAAGATGGAGCGTATTGACTGGGACCGTAGGCTCGCGAATCACCTCATGTCCTTGTGTATCGTGGGTCACGGTGGGAAGGGGGCAAGGCGCATGACGACAGTGGAGTCGTACCGCGTGAAGGGCGCACGCGGTCCGCGTGTATGCCATGGGGGGGCTTGCAACAAGACGGCCGGTCCGTACACTGGGACTAGAACTTGTGGGGTATGCTGGTGTGATACTTGCACGGGTGGGATGGGGAAGGACCGGGCGTTGATGCTGTGCAAGACGTGCAGGAGAGTACCAGAAGCGCATGTTGCCGCTAAAAACTGGGCCGCTGAGAGAACGTACAAGCCAATCAAATGGTTTGGATCGCCGCCCGAGTAATTCATTGTGATTGTGTGTGTCCCAGGCCAGTGTTTTGAAGTNGGGGGGGGGGGGATTCTATACAAGTTAGTCGACAAACAGCCCTGTTGCAACGATCTTCTGTCTGTAGCTTGACTAGCTTATAGTTGAATCGGAGTTGTCATTGTGATTGTTTGCATGCTACGGTGTCAAGATGCTGCCCGGTGCGGCGGTTGGTATGCACTCGAACCACGCAGAGAATAGCAGGAGGCAGGAGGGATTCCCACGGCTTCACGAGTACCTCGTACGACCCCCTGCTCTTTTCTCGCTACTCGGGTGCCAGGGTTAGGGTTAGTCCGGCGTGCGTTAGTAATGTCAGCGTTCCGGGTTGGAATGGAAGTGTAGGTTCATGTGTCAACAGCTGGGCGAATGCCCTGCGCCAATGGAAGAAGTCGTGCGCATGCAAAAAATGCGGAAAGGTGTTACGACTCATGTCTATCGTACATTGAACAACACGCATACACTCATGCTTAAATGGGTACCGCAGACACTCTGTCACGTGCCGTTCCCTATCATGGTGGCAAGAGCGAAGAGGCACGCTGTAATGCCTGTTGAAACGTCGTTTGGGCACAATCAACACATGTTGTCGCGAGCGCCTGCCTCATGGCCGTGCTTGTCGCATGGAAGCGTTGTTGCTTTTCGCCAGGAAATTTGTCGTTGTTGTCGTTCTTATTCTTGTTCTTCACATGACAAAAACAGATGCAGCCTCTGGTCAGCGCCATCTAATGTCAGTACCGGTGTGACGCGCACGCCTACCATGGTCACAGGCCAACTACCCCACAGGGGTGCACACTTCGAGAAAGATGAAACGCCAGGCATCGCTGGTTTCAATTGCCGGGAATAAACAACAAACAAAAGAGTCCAAAGCTCTCGCAGGCAAGCGCTCTCAAACAACCAACAAAATAAGCCAAATAATGAATCAAGACTACGACATCGTCCGACAATCTTTGGGTCCGTCTATGTAGACCGAGGTGTAGCCACCGGTGCAGTTGCAACCCTCATGCGCTGCCGATCAGGTACCTCCACATCCACGTCCTTTTGCGAAGGCTGCATGTTAGATCACAAGGCATGCAGGTTACGCACGCATCATGCGGTGTTCTTGGTAAAAAATCCAAGCATACATCGAGACAGGGCGGTTGTTTCTCGGCACTCCTGTTGGCAAGCCCACGTCCACATCCACATACATGCATACTTTCATCACGATAACAACGCGCAACTAACTGCCGCGTAAGACAAAGTGGCATCGTAACTCGCTTCGCTCGCAGACACACTTCACGGGGTTCCGGACGCGGTGCAGTGTGCGGTTACAGTGCCGTGTGACTCGCTTCGCTCGAAGGCAATTGGCGAGGTTTCGGGCGCGGTGCAGTGTGCGGTCCCAGTGTTGTGTGACTCGCTTCGCTCGAAGGCACTTAACGGGGTTCCGAGCGTCGTGCAGTGTGCGTCACAGGAGTGCCGTGTTGCTCGCATGTACTCAAAGGCAGTTTGTCCGCAGCAGCGTCATGTTCCCCCTTTCGAGGAGTTCCTTATTATGTGCTTCGTCACACACCGGTGTGCCTCTCCTCTCCTTCTATTGCACAAGGTGAATAATTGTTCGACCGTTCAGCAAGTGCATACTCCCCCTCGACACGTGTTGCCCCACCTAAACCGTTGTACAGAACTCCAGGCCACACACCCGCCCACCCGTCTGGGGCGTAGTATGACCGTCTTTCGTCCCACAGCGGAGCGTACGCAACTCCCCTACCCCTCACGTTAACCGTAACAGTGGCCGGTGCCTTTTGTCGCATGTCGGCTAGAGCGTTGATGGCATCGATGGGCGGTTGGAACGCCTCCTTGAGGAACTCTCTTGCTAACTCTCTGTCCTGCAAGACATCGTCTGGTAACACGAGGAACAGGCCGTCTAGAGTTTTCCCCCTGGACACGGCGGTATACCCCTGACCCTGGGCGAAGAACCCTCTA